AAGTTTAATGTAAACATTTTAAATATTGCAGCTTTAACTAACATTGTGTTACCTCCTGCAGTGCTGCCGCTCACCTGCTGCAGTCCCACTCAGAGCAGGCGCATTACTCACTATTCTTCCTGGACTATGTGGGCGTGGCCGTCTATCAGTATGGCTGTGCTCTGGCTCTCTGCCTGTACAGCTCCAACACTGCCTGGAGACAAAGCATGCTGGGACAGGTTTGTTTACAGATGTTGAACTATGGTAATATTTGATGGCTGATTGTTGGACGTCTGCAATGTTGGTTGATTTTTTGGACGGCCTGGTAGTTTTCTGGTAAGGTAGTGGAAATTTAGTCTTGACTGACTGTCTGGATGGAGGCAGGAGGTTGGACAGTTGGATGTTACATGTTGGATAGTCTGACAGTGTTTATGTTTGGGTATTTTCACTGAATGATGGATGGCTGGATACTGTGATGGCTGGGTGGTTGCATACTGTGTAACTATCATGATCCGAGTGAGTGTCTGCTGTTTTGATGGTTTCTCCATGCTGGCTCTGGTTCTCCAGTATCTGCCCATGAGGGCAGAGGCTCATTTCCACATGCATCATCCAGCAGTGATCCATCAGTGGCAATCAGCAGGCTGGCATTTAAGACCAGCTCACCCTTCGTCTCATTGCCAGTCCGTCAGCTATGGCTGTAACTTGGCTCTTCCGTCTCTTGTTATTTGCCTCGTTGAATTCTAACTGCTGTTTCCTTGTGTTTCCAGTTTGTTTTTGCCGTTCCTGGAACTAAACGCCGCTGCAGCTTGCTTTACTTGTCACTTTCTTCAACCATTAAGAAGACAATTGGAAGATTTTTGCACAACTTTTGGAGCCAATTGGAAATTGCCCTTCACTGTGTTACACCCACAACCCTGCTACCTGGTCCTCAATCGTCAGTGAAGTATATCCTTACCTGTTACTCCATTTATGGAGTTGCAGAATATGATGAATGGAGAGCTATGAGATATGATTAGTATCTCCCTCTTTTGGGGAACAGCAACACCCCTTAAGAGCCATTCTGAAGTTACCAAATTTCCCAGAGGAACCCACCCGAGGGATTAATAAAGTTTTATCTTATCTTATCACAACTTTCATGGACTGAATATACTTATAACTCACTTCCCTCTTCTGCTATAGGTCTCTTGCCTTTTGAAGCCTCTCTAGGGTACCAACCCCCTCTTTTTCTACAGATGGTGCCTGATCTTGCGGTGCTCTCAGTTTGCTCCAGTCCACTGTGCCCGTCTGCTAGTAACTGCTAGTCTATTGTCCCTTGAGTCTGCTTTCATGTCCACTTCCACATATCAGCCTTTCACTCCCTGACAGTTAGATGACTGTACAGTATATGGATAGTTGGATGGTTTGATAGTATAACCATTAGATGTTTGGATATTGTGATTGTTGGACAGTTGGATTGTTGCATTTTGGATAGATGGATTGTAGGACAGTGTAATGCCTTAATGGTCTGAAGGCTGGATGTTTGGATATTGATATGGTTGTATTTTTGGGGAGCAGGCTGACTGGCTAGTTGGATACATGGACTGCTAGATGGTGTGATGGTCAAACAGTTAGATGAGTCGATACTAGGTAGTTGGATGTTGAATACTGGTATGTTTGTATGGTTGGAGAACTTGATGGTTGGATACTTGGGTAGTTAAAATTTTATTAGTGTGAAAGTTGCACAGTTCAGTGATTGGATGTTGGATGACTGGATGGTTGGATAGTTTAATAAATGGAGTCCTGGACGGTTTAATGGTTGGGAATTTGGTTCATTTGATTGTCAGATGTTGCATTATTGAATCACTGGATATTGTTATGGCTGTATATCCAGTGATGCAACTGGATATACCTCCCAACTGGAGCTAGGAGGTTAAATAGTTTGACTCATGGACTGTTAAATAGTGTGATGAGTGGACAGTTTAGTGACTGGGTGTTGGATGACTGGATGGTTTGTAAATGATATTGGTAAACAATTTGATAATTGGATATTGGATTGTTGGACGGGTATAGCTGTATGGTTGGA